CTACACTAATGAAAAAGCATAATGAAATAAGAGAAAGTGTGGCAGGCAAAAATTCTAAAAGGAATATAATTGCAGGCCTGACACCCTTGTCTCTAGTAGTAGTTTACCAGTGGCTAAACACCCAGCCTGAAACGTGAAGGGAAGTGTTGGGCATGGAATCAAATTGTGCCGATTTCTTCGGACTTGGTCAGTGGGGAAGGTTTCTGCCCTGGGAAGAGTCCATTTTTTTCCCCCAGAAGAGACAGGTTGGTAAAGTGTGAGTAGAGGAAGTCAGGGTGGTTTTAATGGATTTGAACATTGTTACTAAATGTTTCTGGTATTTAAGGTAATGGAGGAGCAATTTGAGTATTTTGATACCTGCACCCTAGTCCCACTCATGTTTTGCACTGCAGCTCTCAGCTAGCCACTCAGGAAATTCTACCCTCCTCTTTAGTGGGTAAAGAATTGGAATTGGACCAGGTCGAACTCTTTACTTAGCTATGAGAAACAGAAGCTGTATTTACTCACAACATGGCTATTCCATTTCCTTTGTTTGCCCAACTGCAATATGGGCTAATCAAATGGGATCATGGAATATGGTCGGCCACCTAGCCCTATTTAAACACCAATTACACACATGAGAACACCGATTTAAGTTTGTAACAGACCTGATTAAGCCTGTTGTGTGAAGGCAGTCATGATTGGACATTTCAAAGGAGAAGGGGTAGAGGAAAAAGGAAGCCCATTTACTATTTCCCCTAAGTCTCTCCCTGCCCCACCTCACCCTTCTTTTTCGTTGCTGTAAGAAAATAAGCTTTAAAAGGTATTGCCACTGCTGTTCAGGGAATTTTTACTCACTTGTGCCTTCCTTTCAATATTTATTTAGTTCAATTACTTTATGCTGCTTTTAGAAACACCACAAAGATGTTTACCATAAAAAATCCCAGCAATAAATGAATAGTTGACAATCGTGGTCTCTTGTGAGATTTCCTCTTCTTCTGACTTGGGGTTGGTCATTGATGGAACTCTCGTGACCATTCCAAGCATATTTCCATCCTTAGTCTCTTAACTTGCTTTAATTGCTTTGCTAGTTCTTGCATTACACAAATCGTTACCTCCAACAGATTTTTAATTTAATGTTGGTAGAGCATCCAGAGCCATTAAGAGAATTGAAGCTATATAGATGATCTCAATAAGCATATCAGATTACCCAAGGTAAGTACTGTATTTTTCAAAGTATAAGACGCACCGGAATATAAGACGCACCCAGGATTTGAAGAGGCAAATTAAAAAAAAAGTTTTTGCACTCTGAGAAGGAAGCATTTAGGAAACACTTTGGCATGTATAGCCTTTAGGAGGCTTATAGAGTGCTCCTGGGGGCTGTGGGGGGGAATTGAGTGAAACTGCCCCATTTTTTTGCTCATTTCTGCTCTCCCCAGCCCCCAAGAGTACTCTGAAAGCCTCCTAAAAGCTATGCATGGCCATTTTGGTGAAGGGGTGGGGTTTCAGGAGACAAAAAATGCTATATTCAGTGTATAAGATGCATCCAGATTTTCAGCCTCTTTTTTTGAGGGAAAAGGGTGCGTCTTATACTCTGAAAAATACGGTACCTTTATCCCCCTTTTGACTCCTGCAGGGTAAACTGCAGGAGGCCTTTTAAAGGAAAATTCCTTGAGATTATTGATATGGATACTTAAGAATGGATGTTATAAGGGACAACTTCCATCCTAGAAACCAGGTGATTGTGAGTTCTTCTCCTGCCTTAGGCATGAAAGCCAACTGGGTGACTTTGGGCCAGTCCCTCTCTCTCAGCCCACCTCACATAGTGGTTATTGTGAGGAAAATAGGAGGAGAAAGAAGTATTATACTGTATATTTGCAAAAATACCATATTTTTCAGAGTATAAGATGCACCTTCCCCTCCAAAAAAGAGGGTGAAAATTGGGGTGCATCTTATACACTGAATACAGCATTTTTGGCCTCCCAAAACCCTGCCCCGCGCATCCCGTTTTTTTGCAAAAATGGACGTGCAGAGGGTTTGGGAGGCCTGCAAAGTGCTCCTAGGAGCCGGGGAGAGCAAAAACAAGCAAAAAATGTGCCCGGTTTTCACAAAAGGGGGTATTTTTGCTCTTCCAAGCCCCCAGGCGCACTCTGCAGGCCTTCCAAACTTTCTGCATGTCCCATTTTTTTGTGTGCAAAAAATGGATCATTTTTTGCTTGTTTTTTTGCCCTTCCTGGCCCCCAGGAGCATTCTACAAGCCTCTCCTGGGCCCACTTTTTCAAAATACGGGCCCGTTTTTTACCTCCCAACCCCCCCAGGTGTCACATTTTTGCCCTCCCCGGCTCCCAGGAGCACTTTGCAGATCTCTTAAACTCTCTGTGTGCCACTTTTTCACAAAAAATGGGGCATACTGAGGGTTTGGGAGGCCCGCAGAGTGCTCCTGGGGGCAGGAAGGGCAATTTTTTTTTTTTAATCTCTTCAAAATCTTGGTGCGTTTTATGCTCCGGTGCATTTTATAATCTGAAAAATACTGTAATAAAGATGAGGTAAAAAGCAATTAAAATAAATAACTCCTGCCACTTGTTCAACCACTTGAATAACTTACACAAGACACAATTATTTGGATGTTTGGTTTATTTTGATGCTAGCTTAATGGCGGTTGAAAGTTAAGAAAGAACCTCACAGTGAGCTGGAAAATCCAAGCGTAGTAATTAAATAACCCATCACCAACTCAAATCACCAACTGTAATCTCGAACCTGAGTGTCTTTGATCCCAAATTCTTACGGCTTTTTGGATTAAGCCCTTAATTCCATCCCCACCCCAATGTTTTTGAAAAGCCATTCCATCCTTCCATTCCCTGAGGATTCTGGCATTCTAATTTTTCAATATTGAGACGAAGTAATCCATTCCCCTTTTCCGTTTCTCCTTTTGAGTAAGTACAAACATTCTGGGTTGCACATCCTTTGGTACTGACTGTTGCATAGAATGCTGACACTGGGGAAGAAAAGGGGGAGAAGGAAGCATTTAGGAAACCTTTCTTAATTTTCCCTTCATTTTTAATGGTACAACACTGAGATACATTAATGAACGTAATCTATATGTCCGGTCATCTAGAGAAGGTCTGTTGAACATTTCCCTTCCTTGTGAGGTAAATAAGGTATTAGTTTCCAAGTAATGCATTCATCATGAAGTCAACTCCGAGGCATTCCGTTTCCTCAAATAACAAATTTATTTAGCACAAACTGGTGAAAAGCCAGCATTAAAACTTCCCGGGCTTTCCACCCCAATATAAGTAAAAGTTTCTCAATTTCCCCAAACAATATGCCACATTGTCCAACTGGGATGGGAGCTGGTTGCTTGGAGACTTTTCTCCTCCTCTGGTCAACCAGCCATTGGAATGTATCTGATTCATCGGCGAACTACGTTGTTTTGGCTGAAGACTCCATCCACCTCAGCTCTCCTCTCCTTCAGCTCCAAACAGTGTCAAACTGAATTCACATGAGAGTAACCCAGGTTATAAAAATCCCACACCCCGGTCAGATTTAGGCTTGACACAGGGATGGGTCCCTGCTGGTTTTACTACTGGTTCACAACTTGTGCACAATCTCTTCACTCGTGCTTGTCAGATGTGTGCTGCATGTGCACTACTCAATGGAAATTGCAGGACAATTTACAATGAACTGCGCACGTGTATTCACTAGGCCCAGGATACCCGTGAGACCACCTACTGCCACCGGTAGCCTCCCACTGCCCAGTGCGATCCCACAGAGTTGGCCTCCTCAGGGTGCCGTCGGTCAGACAGTGTAGGCTAGTTACCCCCAGAGGGAGAGCCTTCCCTGTGGGAGCGCCTTCACTCTGAAATGAGCTGCCCCCGGAGCTTCGCATAATCCCCGACCTCCGGTCCTTCCGACGCACCCTAAAAAGTTGGCTTTTCCAGCAAGCCAGCCTGGCCTGAATAAAACAAAATAAATTATTGATCATTGTTAATTCTAATCGATTTTTTTTAAAAAAAATGTTATTATTATTCTGAATTGGGTTTGTTTGGGATATTCTATTTAATTCTTTTTAACTTTTGTAATATGTGTTTTTTTAATGTTGTATGCAGCCCTGAGTCCTTGGGAGAAGGGTGGCATATGAATTCAATAAATCAAACCAAACCAAACTAAAATCCAACATGGCAGCAACATCAGCAGCAGTGAGGTAAGCGGTTCGGGTGTGTGTGTGTGTGTCAGGCCTGGATCGCTGCCAGTTCTGCCACCCAGGCCTGAATTCCACTACTGGTTTGGCTGAACTGGGCCGAACCGGCAGCAACACACCTCTGGCTTGACATAAGGAGTGGATGAGATGTTGGGTAGCCAATAGACTTGGACAGTTTCTTCCCAGAGGCATGTCCTACCTCCCCCCGCCCCATGTCAGCTATCCCCAAATTACTAAAAATCTATTTTAAATCCAGCATTAACTAATGCTGATTAACTAAGAGGGGGGGAGAATCTTTCTCAAGTTTTTAATTGAAAGTTTTCTTGTTGTTTTGGTCCTTAAAAAAAAAAAGAACTGAACATTGCCAAAGACCGAAATATTCTCCCAAGGAATGAGTCCCATTTGGTTTTACTTTGCACTGTTTATGTTTCCTTCATTTCCTGTATGTTTAATTTTATTTGGTGTCTAAAACATTCCTTCCCAAACTGGTAAAGAATGAGGTACTTACATGCACGCATTCGGAGTTTTGCATTGTAACATTGGACCTCATTGCCGAGACACAAGACGGTTCCATTTTCTATAGAGGAGCCATTTTCTTCATAAACGCCCGGACAAGTCAATCCATTCGGTTTCAGGTCGTTATGCCGTGGTACTGCAGAGAGGAAGTTTCGGAGTTAGCAAATTCCTTTCTGAAGTATTGAGAGCCCAATCGAGTGCCTAGATGTGGCCCATGGGGACAGCCTGGAAACAGCAAGGAACCAGCCATGATGCCTCTGCCAGCAAAATTGGAGCTCGGGAAGACTGTGCATGGCCCTGCCGAGCTCCATTTTTGCTGGCAGAGGGTTGCAGGAAGCCGTCACCACCAAAAACAGAGCTTGGGAGCCTGTTTTCACTGGCAGTGCTCGGGCTACCACAGGTGCCCTCCAACATGAGTCATGCCGAGCTGGCCATGCCCCCCCCCCCAATGTCAAACGCAACTCTGATGCGGCCCTCAACGTAAACGTGTTTGAACCTCCTACTCTAAGCATTTTGACTACACTTCTTGTCATTCGCAGTCAGGAAAAGATTTCTTTTCCCCGGCTGGGTAAGCCAGACCCAGACTGACACTCACACACACTCTCTCTCCCTCTCCCTCCCTCTCCCTCCCCCCCTCTCTCTCTCACACACACTCACACCTACACAGATGTTGGATCATTCTCCCCTAATCCCCAGAGACCCCTGGATTCCCTTCCCAACTCTGCCTGTCCCATATAGGTACCACCCACATAAGAGACATAGGGTGGTTGGCCATGCCCACTCAGTCACATGACACCCAGCCACGCCCACCCAGCCAGTCATTAGGACAGAGAACTGGTTGTTAAAAATTTACAACCCATCACTGCTGCAAAGTCGCTAGTCACATGGGCCAATCATCATATAGCCCAGTTGCTGGGCATCTTCAATCTTCTCTGCTCAAAAACCTGCAGAAGGACCCCCGATCATTGCACTGATGGTGGCGGGCATTTTCTAGCTATATTGTTCTGCTATTAGCTGCAAGTTCTTTCTGAGGATTTTCATGCCAGTTGATCCCTCCAACAGTAAACACACAGGGTGCTAAAAGAGATGAGAAGTTACTCGTTCAACTGGAGGGTCTGCTGCTGGTTGTTAGAACAGACACTTTAATCTCAGGTTACTTACTAGGAAGAGGTCCCGAATTACAGCCGTCAGTCTCACAACATGCTACTCTTGTCTGCTTGTGTTTGTCGGCTAGTGATGTGCCGCTATAATAACCTTTGGCACATTGGTCAGTTCTTGCACAGCCTTTGAAAGTCAAGGACAGCATAGGAGTGTCTGCAATATTTAATCATAAGAAACAAAAACAAAAACCTCATTAGGGCAGGTAACAGAGGAATAAAAACATCAAGCCTTCCAATTTAAAGGTTNTGGCCTCTGGCTCAGGGGCTCAGGCGGAGAACGGAGGGGGAAAGAAACAGGTGGGAGGAGGAGGAGGCCTGGACACACCTGAGGGCAGGCAGCCTCGGCTGCAGCCGGTGAAGCAGCACTTCTCGGTCAGGGGACAGTCACGGTCAATATTGCAGGTGTTGTTGCAGGGAACGAAGGGCTGTATTTCGACCCTCCTGGGACACACGCCAGAGTGTTCTAGAATGAGAGGGAGTGTCAGGTCCCAAGGACCAATCAGGAGATGTAGAGTTATTTCTGAGCAGTTTCCTTTACTGTTAGTCACCTACAGACGGAATCTTGCCAGACTAAAGCAACTATTTGCATATTATAGATAGTGCTCAGATCTCTAGGATGGCGCCGCTATCGTATGTCTTTTCTTCAGGACCAAACTATCTACATTGTCCTGCCTCTTTGATCTCTCCCTTCTGTGAATCCAGACTGCATTCCACCACAGGCAGGGAGGGGAGGCCGTTCCTCGGATGGCAGAGACCTCACTCTGCTGTAGGTGTCCCCTTTCCTCCCATGCTCTCAAATTAGAATTCCCTCCCACAACCACAACCACCCCAGGCAAGGTCTGGTCCTGGAAGCTTGGAAGATGGGAAGCACTGGAGGACTCACACGAACTAGGCCTGGTCTGGTCAGGGAAAGGTTAACGATCCAGTGTGTGTTCCTGTGCTCATCTTGGTTAATGTTAATGTTGTCTGGGTGTCTTTGTGGCTTAACGTTGGGTGCACACCTAGCACATTTCTTCCTTGATGACACACATTACACATGTGCAGGAAACGGGTGAATTTAGGAACCAGCTGAAGTGTATGATGTGAATAGACCAGTGGTGGGATTCATATTTTTGTTACTACCGGATCTGCGTGGCTTGGTGGGTGTGGCAGGAGAAAGATACTGCAAAATCCCCTTTCTCTCCTGATCAGCTGGGACTCGGGGGGGGGGGCAGAGAATAGATGGGGGCATGGCCAGCCAGAGGTGGTATTTACCAGTCCTCCAAACTACTCAAAAGTTCTGCTACTGGTTCTCCAGAACTGGCCAGAACCTGCTGAATCCCACCTCTGGAATAGACCCAGGGTGATATTGTGGGCTTGTTGTGCCTATCGGACCCTGCTGCATGGACGGTGGGGGCTGTTAAGAGGGAGGAGAGTGGGAAAGGAGAGATACCTTCGAAAGCCTCCACGCATAGCTTTCCATCCCCAAAGGGGCA